TAGGGGATCGGTTATTGCAGTCGCTGTGCTTGTATAATTCTAAGAAAGCTTTTTATAAAAACAAAAATAGGTGTCAATATGGTACGGAACAAATGTCAATTTATCGAACTCCTATCGTTTGTTTCGTTTCTTTCGCAGGATTGGCACAATCCCACAGTACCGATCCCCTAATTGCTCTCAGCAGTGTACACTGACAACTTATTGAAGGAATAGTGGATTAATAGTTAATTACAAGATCAAATTTCTGTTTTCAGTAAAAAATAATGATATCGATACATGACGTGGCAGTCGAAGTGTTAAGATTTTTGAGGATCTCACGGACCGGGGTCTTACAATCCATACCGATCGAGGCTTTCAGTGATCCACCATTCAAATTCTTCGTCAACTCCATTAAAATAATTACTCTCACTGATTGCAGTTGACAAATTGTTTCTTTACTTCATCAGCCAATTGAATGGTAATTTAAATGGCTAATTAATGGCCCGGTCTGCACCTAAAGCCATGACCAGTATCGATTGCGATCGTCTGTATTGGGACTTCGGCATTTCAATTTAATCGTCATGGCTAAAATAACGCGAACAAAAATCCATCATTACTAAATCCGAGGTACATTCAAAATAAAGAATCTCGACCTTTATCATCCACTAAAAGTCAAATAATCTATTAACGAGTGTTTAAAACTAAAATTGCACGCTATAAATAAACACTACAGCATCCCCTATTCTGCCTCGATTACTTACCTCGTTAAGTTTCGAGTACCGTTCATTCGTACATTATTTGAGCCATGAATTCCCACGAAATTGACAAAAAAGGAACCATGTAAATATTTCATTATGTGTCACGGAATGTTGAGGGTTGTATCGATTAAAGAAAACAAAAATCTGAAAAGATCGTACGAAAGGGGATGGAATTTTGAAGAATCGGGGGGATGAAATCCTTACAGTCACTGTTCCATCGTTTTCAAGGTCCGGCGTTCGATGAGCGAGTAAATGACAATGTTGAGCATGAAACAATAATATAATTGTAATTCTCTTCACATGCTTCCTTTCATCCACCAGGGGACAATATAAACGCGGCTTCACCATCTATAACTGTCGATATACAAAAAAAAAAAAGAAAACGGAAATAAAATCACGCAAGAACAATTTTTTTTTAACTTTTCTGGCAACTCGAATATATATATATATATATATATATATGTGTATATAAAAAAAAAGTATTAAATACGCGTTGTCGCAACGTATAATATTTTCTCCTCGGTTTTTAAGTAAACTGCCTGGCGTTTCACTATCTCTCTCACACGCACGCTCCTACTCTCTCTTTTTCTGTTCATCTCCTCGACAAAAGTTATCTCCCGATCGTTTAGATCTTTTAGATCGAGTTCTCCAAGGGGAAACGTCTCGATCGTTTCCATCGAACGCGTTTTAAAGCTCTCGGACAAGATTAAAAAATTTAATAATACTTATCAAACGTGATTATAAACGAAAATAACATTTGGAAAGAAATAATAGAGGAAACAGGGAAATATTCCGTGGTTACGAATTGAAAAAAGAAATGTGTATACAGGATGCTCCATTTGAATCCCTTCGCGTGTTCTTCAAATACACTGCCTTTATTTGAGAAAATCGTTTCATTCGTTGAATTCAAATATTAAATTCAAAAATTTCATCGATTGATTTAAATTGGATTATACACATTTTTCAATTAAGCTTGTGCACTGAAGAATTTTAATGGCGTGGAGTTTAAAATTATTTAAAGCAACACAAAAGAATTATTGAATATATTTGTTTAGTGGGATAAATATCGCGATTGAACCTCTATACAGGGCGATCAATTGACAGTGAGCGATCTTTTATTATTTTGGATGCATGTAACAAATGGATATTATTACTGACACGAAAACATTGTAACAAATTGATACACTAAAGAAACACAATAATTGTAGTTCCATTTTGTACAGTCGTTAGTAGAAATAAGTAATGATCACCAGCGCCATTCTATTATTAAACAGTAATATTTACAATCTTAAAAATACAATCAGTGATAAATCAACGATTCAAATAATGAGTGTACGAGTCAACTGATAAGTATTTATATTTATAACAGTAAAAAAAAAAAAACTTAATAAAAAAAACCATATCTTGTCACATTGTCCGAGTAACAAAAATCTGAACAATTATATAAGGAAACAAAACCATCGAATTCGAAAATAATGACGCGAAAGCATTGAAATGGAACAGCCTGTATACATATACAACCCCGTGAACGTTTTCGAATCATTCCGAAACCGCGTGAAAATGAGCAGGTTGAGCGAGATCATCCCCCGATCGCGGGTATAGTTGCGTTGAATGAAAAATAATCGTGCTCGTTTAACAACACCGTATTCCTCCGTATATTTTACCGATTCACGTGTGTCTGTATACGTGTATGCGTGAGCGTGTGTCTGTGTGTGTGTGCGTGTCTCGTGTGGATCCATTGCTTCGTCACCGTCGATAATTAATAATATCATGATCGTTATAGGCTGATAGGTACATACAAAACAACACACAATAAAAACAATAACATAATATTAACGTGACGCTCACAATAATAATAATAATAATAATAATAATAATTAATATAATATAATAATAATAATAATAATAATCATCATGATATAATAAATCGTAATAATCGTAATAATCGCGGTTGAACATCGTCAGCGGCGGGACAATTAGCAGCTAATTTACAATCGATTCACGAACCCGAAATACTACTCCCGGACTCCGATCCACGATCATCTCAACATCCAGATGTACACCTGTACACTCGCGCGCGCGCACACTCTCCCATTCCAATTAATCCATTGTTCGTCCCCTCCACTCCCATCTCTCCTCCCCCCACCGTTCCTCTAGCCGATCACACACATCTCTCTCTCCCTCTCTCGTGTTCCATTTACTTCCATCCACATATCTTCTATTTTTTTTTCCCTTTATTCACGTCTACTTATACTGTATCCATATTTTTATCGTCGTTACATAATTAATGTACCATAGTAAAACGTGGCGGAACTATATTTATCGTTAAATCCGAATTCGAATCTCGCGGGCGTGTGGCTGTACGCGTGTGTGTCCTGTCTGTTTCTGTGTGTGATACTCCATCTGTACGTGTACGTGTTTTATCTCTGTTTCACATCTTTGTTTTAACTTTAGTCTAATTATACGATACATGTCTCTCTCTCTCTCTCCAGCTCTCATTTCGATTCCTCTCGCTCTAAATGTACACACACTCGTCCATTTTCGTCGTCTTCGTCTGTTTAGTCGCGATTCGCTATAATTTGATCATCTATCTCTCACACTCTCTCTCTCTCTCTCTCTCTCTCTCTCTCTCTCTCACACACACACACTCGTGAACATTCGATCTCTCTTCGTTTAACATGCACACTTTAATTTTCTCTCTCTCGCTCGATCGTTCTCACGCGCTCAGGGAGCGCGCGCGCGCGCGCTGCCACGCTTTTAAGAAATTCCGATCCTCGGTCCTGCTCTCTCTTCTATCGATTTTCCGACGACGCGAGACCTGGGCTTGCCACCTCTCCGGTTCTCTCTGGAGATTTTCGGATTTTCTCTAGGGGGACTCGAAATATTACGTTACCGTCAACCTCGACACTGTTAATCGTCTTTTCACGGCAATCCTTTTAGAATTCAGATTTCGAAGACTAGGATTGTACGTTTTATTTTTTTTTGTTATTGGAATCGCCGTTGGACAGTTTCCCCTACCATATGTTCCTTCGATATCTCTTGCTTCCTTGATTATGGTGGTTGTTTATTTCGGACAACGAAATCAACGACGGGAGAATGATATTCTAACGATCACTTTACTTTGACTTGACTATAGCTCTTAAGTATCTAAATATTGCAGATTTAATGACGTTTAAGTACAGAAAGAAACTAGTTATGAAAATTCATCAATTGTAAATTCCTATAAGAGATTATGGTTAACGCTTATAATAGAAAGATCGAATGTTCGGTAATATTTCTTTCAATGTGAAAGCAATTCTTTGAAGATATTTTCAAACTATACTTTCTCATTCACTAATATTTTCACTAGAAAGAAAACAAGAATTACCCTAGCGTTCCATGAATGTTTATGAACATCAATCACAAGTTTAATTCTAAAATTAACGAGTTTAAATACGCGCAAGAAAAATTAGTCGTTTCAGTCATTTTAAACAACTTTAGGACAATTTTTATTGTTAAAACAAGCAGTGCCTCGTAAACAATAGAATAAACAACTTAATGTAACATGCTTATAAGTGATCCTTGTCGATCATCTTCATTCACAAAAGCGTTCTCAAATATTCATGTGCAACAACATATATATAACATATTTAAAAAAAAAAAACCTCAATTTTGCGTATATTCCATTCACAAATAAACATCGGTCGTTACAGTCAAATTAAAATTAGTTCTACACTCAGGACCTCGAAATAGTTATCTTCGCGATTCCATTCGAAAATTCTGCCGGCCACACTGCCGTTTCCCTCGAAACGGTAACGCGACGGATGTCACGGTAGAAACAGTGACCTTGAGCAAATCAATTAAACCCGGACTCATCGAAATTCGTCTAATCTACCCACCGAATCTCCAATTTTTCAAACCGGAAGAGACAACAATCCCATATAAAATTCACGTTTCACATGTTCATCGACGCGCGCGCGCGCGCGCGCTCACGAGCACACCAAAAAGGTACATACAGAAAATACGCGTGTATGTATACATTTATTATAGTATTATCGGTAGGCATGCACACTCGCTCGTTCAGCGGCCCTTATAATTTAGATAATGTTGCACCTTAGAGAATAGAGATCCACTGGGATATTTATTTTCATTTAACATCCGATTAAATTACCTACTTACTCGCTGACGTACCGATTAAAAGGTAAACGCGTCCGCCTTCTTCGATCCGCGACCGCGCTTAAGGACTTCGTCCCGTCAGAGATCTTGTTGTCAGAACACCCTCGATCACTTCGATCGTTCCGTGTCATTGTCCTCGGACTCGTCAGGCTGCTCGATCCTGATCCTTCGTCCTCGAATCTGCAAACTGTAACTGCAGACCAAATCGGACGTCTCTTGGTTAAATTCTCTTTATCCCCCAGTTGTCTGTATTTTTCCACGAATTCTCGATCTTCTTCGAGCGTGGATACGTCCTTCGCTTATTCATAAAAGGTTCGAGGACGAACGTCAGATCGAGCAAACGACCGAGAAAAGTTCGAATTAGGTCGACCTAACCCGACCATTGATTACATTTCGGTTTCTATAGCTTGGCCAGGCACGGCTGATGGATCTATTGTGCTCGATCAGGCAGGAGATAGAAGAATAGGTCCATTACTGCTCTGTTTCTTTGTTTCTTCTTCTTTGTCCGTACACCTTCTCTGATTATCGACGTGGACACTGGTTCCACAATAATAGCAATCGATAGTCACAAGTTTCCCCATGACTTCACTTCTCTGTCCTGTTCTTCTAACTCCCTCCTTCGATCATCGGCTGTGCGCACGATTTCCTCCTCGAGTTAATTAGAATTCGTCGCGTTGGCTCGAGTATCTCTTAATTAAGTATCAAACAACATCCCGTCTTTCGTGTTTTCAAAGTCTCGACGCGCTGGGGATGTTTCGCGTACTCCGTAGAATCACCGAGAACGCTAAAATTTCACGTTATAACAATCTAATAATACTAAAACGATTAACAAAGTCCATTGTACTCGATTCAACTGCCACGATTCCAAACAAACAAACAAAAAAAATATATATAAAACATCGATTTCTTGAGTTACCGCAATTGCACACCTCGTTTTGAACCCCCTTTCGAGTTGACGCGTCGATCGCTAGAGTGACCGAGTGCACTGAACCGACTACGCGACAAAGTCCCAAGCTCGGCCATATCGAATGGTCTCCCGACCATACGGGTACAGTAAGGTATACCTTTACATCTAAGTCGTGTTGTGTATGTGTATGTGTGTGTGTGTGTGTGTGTGTTTTTTTTACATATAATATAAGAATTATAGGTACTAGTTTGCGATCCTTGGTAGGCGATGAATACGACATTTTTCTGGACATAATTAGACTAACTCTCTCCGAGCGCACGGTGGTCCGCGGGCCAGGCCCGTCCGAGTTGTCCCCGACGCAAGACATCCAGAGGGAAAACATCACGACGGACGGTCGACAATATTCCTTTCACATTCAAGGAACAGAAATTCCTTTCAACAATTTCATGTTACGTCGAGGACTCTCGTCCACGGACCTGGATGCCCGATCCCCAACCTGGATCACGCGAGTTCCTCGACCGCTGGTGGTCTCTACAGATCATCGGACAGAGAGGTTATCTACAAAGGTCCGTTGTCGCTCTCGGTTCACACCAGCGGTCCAACGAAACTTTTTCTCCCGTCCCCTCGGATTTCTGTGGGTTGGATCTATCAATCCTTTACTGGGACCGATGTAACGGAATTGACGGCTGACCCAAAAGGACGGGCATTGGATCCTGTGACGACGACCTCGTTTCGGATTGTCCACGCGAACCGAATAGAGGAGACTGGACTGGAATGCGTGTCCAACGTAATTTAGTATCTACTTTCCGGGAATCACAGACAATAGCGATCGTCGTTCTTCGAGGAACCGCTCGTTAGAAGTATCGCCGGAATCCAAAGCGGGAAACGAAACGTTTTTTCTAGGTTAAACCAGTTTTCTCTTCATAGAAATGTTCCAATTAATTCCGTGAATTTCCCCTCGCGCACACCTCCGTTCGGATTCCGTTACTACCACTTACCCCCGGAATACAGAGTTCGATCCTCCACGTCCGACGATCCTCGGGGTCGCAGCCACAGGGACCCAAATGGCGTCGGTTTCCGAACGGTTTCACGACGGATCCCTATCGATCCACGGATGTTCTCTAGTTCGTCTCGCTATTCTTCTCGATCGACCGGGCTGAACAGTGCGTACGGACGTCAGACCTGATGGGTGCAACGGGAAAGGGTGTTTTTCGTCCAGGGGATGAAGGGGGAGGAGGCGTGTGTGACACGGGATAGGACAGACACTAAGTGACACTAATTTTCTTTATATAATATGTATAACTGGAGGAAGTACTACCGAATTACGAATTGGACAGATTGTCAGTGTGTTCTCCATTCGTTGGATAGCGATCGTGGCCGACGATGTGGATGACCGATGATTAATATTAATAATAAAATAATAATAATAATATACTACTCGCGAAACGTTCTTTCTCTCTCTTTCTCTCCTTACAATCGTTAGGCAGTCTTTCAAACAGCTGCTGAACAAAGTTCGATAGGTGTGTGTACGTGTAACGGGGTCTGATCCAAGATATCTTCAGCAACGACGACGAATGGTTTTCATGCGCCGAGAGCACATAGAAACCAATGGGTATGGACATCTGATATTCTCTGGGGCGTTCCGTGCCTGGTGTGTTCTCATCGTGTTCAGGCGGCCAGGCCGTGGGGCGTCTGATGAAGAAGCGCTGGATACTGTTGAGCCACGTGCGCCAACTGGTGATGATGATGATGATGATGATGAGCGTGCGCGTGAATGTGCGGATGAACGACGGCGGTGGGAGGTGTGACGGTGCTCGGGGCAGCACCAGCGGCTACTGCCGCGTGGGTCGACAGAGGCGTTTGAGGTTGTGGCGCGTGAAGCGTATGGCTGTGACCTGTAACCAGACCGACGTGGCTGCCTGTTGTGTGACCGGTACCGTTTCCGGTTCCTATGGTCCCGACCACGGTCCCCACGGTCCCAGTCGTGGTGCAGCCGTTCGCGGCGGCGGCGGCGGCGGCGGCGGCGGATGTGGAGCCGTGGTTGTGATGAGGATGGCCGAACACGACCCCAGAGAAGGCCACGGGTCACTGATGATGCTTCGCTGAACCGTTCGCGTGGTGCGCCTGCGCGACCACGTGGTGACTCGATGGTGGCGCGTGACCAGCGCTCGGATGATGATGGCTTCCGGTCGCCCCATGGTGATTCGCGTTGTTCGCGCTACTGTTGTTGTTGTTGTTGTTATTGTTGTTGTTCTGCTGCTGTGTCTGCCGTTGGCTGTTCTTCTTGTTCTTCATCCGCCGATTCTGGAACCAGATCTTCACCTGTCGCTCGGTCAGACTGAGATTCCGCGCCAGTTCCCAGCGTTTCTGCTTGGAGACGTACGCGTTGAACAGGAACTCCTTCTCGAGCTCCAGGGTCTGGAACTTCGAGTACGGTTTGCGTTTCTTCCGTACCGTCACCTGGCCGGTCCACTCGAGCGGGTTCGAGCTGCCGCAACCGACCCCCATCCCGGCGACACCGACCCCGACGCCGACCCCCGCCAGGGAACCTGCGGGAAACAACGAAGATGGGGAGGAACCCCACATCACTTAACACAATTAGTTTGCCAGTAACAGGAACCTAGCCACGTTAGCTAGAAATATATGACAACCGGATATTACATGTATTCTGCAGTTTTCTGTTTGCAGGTTTTCTGTTTGGGTTTGGGCGCTTGGGCTGTTTGCGGATCGATCCAGTTTTAGAGTCTTTGCAATCGAGTAAGGGATGAAGTGTTTTTAACGTTTGTTTACTGCTTGGTGGAAATTTATGATCATCGCCAATTAGGTCGGTTGAGTCTGTATCAATGTCCTCAAGTACAAAGAGTTGAAAAATAATTATGAAGATCGTTCAGCAAACAGTGATAATTATTGAGAATTAAGGTTGATTTCATAAGAAGGTACGAGATCAGGAAAAACCTCTGTAATAGTTCTGATTTTAAGTTCAACCGGAAATCAGGACATTCAGCAAAATTGTCTCAGAACAAGGCAAGAATATCTTCTAAAAACCTTTTTAATCTTTAAAAAATCGATCGTTAATTCACTGGTTAAATATGCACAAAATGATCGTGCGTTAAAGGACGATTAATTGCAACATTTCTTCAATTCAGAAACACGTTTCGAATCGACACGACACGAATCGACGGAAACGGACGAAGTACAACGGTTCGTTAGGCAAAGTATCGGCCCGTAACCAATCCCGTTAACTTCTTTTTCCTCCGCGGAACCGCTCCGTTGACATTTGCCGACTGTCGCGTACACTCCGTGGAAACCGATCGATGCGGTCGGATCAGTTCGGTCCGCTATCGCAACCATTTCCGCCGATCGGATTCCATGCATCGATTCGGAAAGCACAAAAGAAAAGTCTCCAATCTACGACCAACAGAAGGACAGAAAAATTCTAAACATCCAGGACCAAGGAAACACGAAAAAACTCTAGAAGTTCAGGACGAAGGAAATAAAGGAAATCTCTAAATGTCCAGGACCATGGAAACACAGAAAAACTCTAAAAATCCAAGATCAATGAGACACAGGAAAATCCAAGACCAAGGAAAATCTAGAATCACTCGATAGACGGTAACATTCGATTGATCGTTACGTAACATGCATCTGTAGCGCCTCATTAACGTCTACGTGAAAGTCCCGAGTGAATTAATTGCAGCTAATCCGTTGACTCTAACGATCGTGCTCCGATTCATACGAGAAAAGATACAAAATCAAGTTTACGATCAATATCGGTATACGCCGTTAAACCAGGATTATTATCGCCGATAAACGAACCCCGGGAATCGTTTCCCTGATGTAATTATAGATTCATTCATAGAGTATGCCGTATGAACGAGACATTTCCAGTTTCGTTCTGTCTCTGTATTCCGTTTCCATCTTCTCCGGATGTCCCTGGGGCGTGCTAGACGAGACAAATCTCTCTCGAGGATCTGGAGTCCCAACGAAGTACTCACGGCCGTCTCGAGTCCCCGTCAAAATCCACGATTGCACTGAATCCAGGAGGATTCCTCGACCTGGAAGCAGTGCCCCTGCTCGATGCCTCTCGAGTTTGCAAAATTCATACGGGATCACGGAGAAGGAATGCGAATTCGGGGGCCGATTTTTCGGGGAACTTGGAAAATTCACGAGATTGGCCGAGTTTCTCGGACAGAATTTCCAGTACAAGGGGTCGCGGGGTCACGAGATCGCGAGATTCAGGCGCGTGACGCGACGCTCGGAGCGTGCACTCGATGGCCTGCGTGCGAACGAGCGACGTTGGGCGAGTGTGCGCGTCAGGCACGCACAGAAGGGTGAGCGTGTGCGTCAGGCGACTGGCACGCCGCGCGACGAGGCTGTATGATATAATTGGACCGGTTCTACTAACCGTGCGGAAAACGTGGGGCGGGGACGGGAAGGCGAAACTGACAGTATACACTGTAGACCGAAAATTTTGAGTCACACTCTGGTTTCACGTGTTTAGAAAGGTGTGAACGAAGGGTCAGTGGATGTTGCTTTTTGTCGAGGTGGGTCTTTGCCTGACGCTTGTGTCTAAAGTGTCTGGGAAGGCGGCATGACTCACTGATCATTTTCTAGGAAAAAAAATCTATACTAAACATCTATAGTGATAACGAAGATTAATCCTTTTGATAGGACAGTGTCAGCTGAATAGTGATTAACACGCCCATATAGAATTACAGGAGTCACGCTCTTTTTAAGAGACATAAGGTATTTAAAAAAGAAAAAAAAACTATAACTGCGCAAACATAACAACTAGCTAAAGGCGCTAGTATCTACAGATGATTGCAGTGATGCTAGATATAGCTGGTATTGGAAGAGAAAAGGTTAAAGAGAAATAAAACCAATCACCTAGTTGTCGAAAATTATTTTAGAAAAACCTAAATTTGAATTAGATCTGTACTCTATTGATTAGTAACAATGATTCAATCCCACGAACAGTGTGCATAATTATTTTTATAACGTTAGTCTATTATTGCTACTGCCCGTATTCCAGTTCTGTCTTCGTTCAATGATACTCACAGATCTACGATACTGACAAGGGCCGTGATCACAAGGTGCGAATTTGTCGGAACGCGAACCGAAGCTGAATTTTCTGAAATTTAAATAAACATCGATGCTATTTTTCTCACTCGAGATCGGACAGAGGAATTTTTTCTGGAAGATACCGTAACGGTAGAACGAAGCGCGCGAAACGAAGAGATTACGACAGCGTTCGGCTCGGCTGACTATCTTTAACCCAGGAACGAACGAGAAGTGGTTGCTCGCTTAACGAACACAACGGCCTCGCGCGTTAATCGCTCGCGAGCACAACAAAGTTGCAATCTTCCACCTGCCAGCCTTCCCCGTTTCCTCCCCCCGCCCCCTTGAACCTAACCGCAAACGAATCGATGTTATTTACGGACGTACTCGGTGCTCGAAAGGTTTGCACGTCCTCATCGGAACGCTCGAACGTTTTTTATTCCAAAATCGGATCGATATCGTTGCGTGCTCGCATTATCCAAAAATAGGGGTGTATTTACAATTGAAATTCTCTGTCGGTGCACGAATCAGAATAAATTATTATCGCACCTTATTTCGGGGAGGAAGAGGGGGAGGGGACTTTTATGAATATGCTCCGGGCGTTTCATCGGAAATGTGTCGTTAAAATTGTCGTGAACGTATCTGATTAAGATGTGTTGTTTAAGCGTGTATTTGGAAGTGATTCAGTGATTATTCTGATCGTAGCGTTTTAATGCAATTGCTTAAATGAGATTTGATTTCGTCGAAATGTACGGAATCTTTTGAACACCCTGTATAACGACGATAGTAAAAAGTAATCCACAATGTTCAATTGTAAAACCAACAATCTGCTTGGAAATTTTTGTAATTATAATTTTCAAACAAACTACCATATCTTCGAATTTACCCTGTACACGATCTGTAGTCTAAAAAAACCCCAATAAACGTCTTTGTCTCCTTTCGTTTCATCCCGAACACGAGGTGCGAATTTCTTTTTTTCCTCCCTTATTAGATCACGCAATATCGTTTCCACGGTCTTCCGTCTGTTCTCTGAATCCCGCCAGGTTTCCTCCCCTATTTCCACCCTCCGTCTCCCCGCCGTCCCTCGCCACATCCCCTCCTTTTCTGCGTACGCGCGTCCCGGTCGGTTCCGCGGGGTACGGTCGCGGCGCGCGATTGCTTAAGCGACAGGAATTTATTGCCCACTAAAACGCTGGAATATGCAAATTACTTGACAAAGGTCAGGATTCTCACGAATGTCAGCCGACGTGCACCAGAGGGGCCGGGGGAAATAAGGGGGAACTGCGGAATAAATGACGTATCGATTCGCGCGGCCCGCGGCGTGTCAGCGACCAAAGGAGCTTGCCTGGTTGTACAGTCGACGATATCGACGCGCTGCCCGGCTTCCCTGATGATCTCTGGCCAGATATCGCGGGACAAACCCGTTCGATATCCGCCGTGGAAAGTTGGGACCCCCGGAGGGGGACTCGACGCACGCGGCTGGAGGGACCGAGGTGACGATCGAACGAGGATACCAAAGTTGGATTCAAATTTACCCGATTGTTGTTACCGTTGATAGGTGTACATCGATATAATTGTATGGAAATAACTAGGATCTTGTGTACGTATAAATTGATGTTGGATATAATCGAGCTGGAAGGCGAGTTGCTGATGAAATAGCGATATCTGTGTAGGTCAGATCGGGGTTTAGCTGACTATCTTTAATTTTCATTGATGGAAATATATGTTAAGATAACAGGTTCATGCAAGAAATCGGCCTTGAAAATGAATTGATGATGAAACAGCGATATGGGTGTCGATTAGTCCTTGGTTTGCCTGGTTATCCGTACGTTGATTGATGGAGAGATGGTGGAATAATTTGTGGAGGTAACGGGGACCTTGTCTATCGCCAGATAGGAGTCTAACATAAGGAACTGATCTTGATAACGAGGTGATGATGGAATAGTAATATTAAAGTGGACCTGAGTTTCTTTATCCTTGTTTTCACTAATGGAATGAAAGTTTTTTGTGGCTAGCAATCTGTAAAGATTTGAGATTCAAAAATTTTATATTTACAACATAGAAGACAACTTCAAAGTCCAGTACAGCGGTTCCAAAGTGAAATAATCAATAAGAAGAACCTAAATGATACTTGAATAAAGCAAGACAGAAATCCAGACACTCGAAAGTATTTCTCTACCGAACTTTAAGCAGCCAGGAATCCCTGAATCTCCCTAAGCTATTGATCCAAAACCCAGCAAAGATCAGTCACCACAACAAACGGACTCCCTACAATTCTCAGCAATCGAACCAGCCACCTCTGAACCCATCAAGACATCAAATTCATCGATACCCAAATTCCGACCGCTCTTAGCCACTTCTAGTCAACTCGGCCCGTAAATTCGCGAAGCGATCCACCAATTAAACTTAACCAGCGGAGCCACGGGCGCGGAAGATTGCGCGATAAATTAAAAAGCGAAGCGACGTGCGTCGTTTAGGGGTCTAAAGTGGTTTTTAAGGTTGCGACGAATGCGTGGTAATTCGTTGGCCACTATCGAGACACCACCTGTCCCCAATCAGGCTGTCCAAGCTACATACAGTGCAGTGATGACTTGTTGGCTAGGCACCTACAAACTGAACGTCACAGGGACAAGAGGGGTAGTCTGTTCGGTTGAGTAAGCCCTTCTGTGACATTCCCAGCAGGCAATGGTTAAGATTGTAGACGTTGCGGTATTACTTTGAATTCTTTCGCGTTCTTCGTCACGTGATAGACTTGTATCAGGTCATTCCATATGTAATGGGAATTTTCTTTGATCTTTGTGGAAGTTGAAGTGCAGAACTGTAATTAAAACTACTAATCGCTTACCTGTATATGTATATTTTCCTTTATTCTGTACAATAGTTTCTGTAGCAACTTCCAGTTTCGTTTCCACAAACATCAAAGAACATTTGCATTACAGCAATTCATCGATGAGTGTTCGAAGACTCCTCGGCACTGAACATTAAATATTTCATAAACTACTGGCCATTCAGAATTACAAGCTCTACCACTGTGTCAAACCTCATTAAGAAGTCAGTGACGAGGGGCCTTCGAGCATTCATCGAGGATTTACTGTATATACTAATTGAATGACCTAATAGATGTAGTCGATTCAGCCAATAGCGATAATTCGTGTAAAGTCAAATTCAGACCAGAGATCACGATACGGTCAGATCACGTCGAATCAGGCAACGATAGTTATATTTTTTTTTCAATTTTAAAAAATTTATTTTTTATTTTCAGTAGAGACGTCGTCCGTACGTGTGTCCAATTAAATTGCCCAGCCAACAAGTCATCTCTGGATTGTACGTACATTAAAAATCTGTACGGAACAAGCTCCAAACCGTGGCCAAGAAGACCCGTGTGCCTGTCGTCTATCCGTGGATACGGAGCAGCCGGCGCACACTCCTACCCGGGGACGAACGAACAAAGATAATGGAGCTGCCATCTATTGGAGGACGGGTAAACTATACGCGGCGCTCTCGTATTCCAGTACACTTTGTATGTATCGTCGCACGCCTGCGCGTGCACCTCCTCCTCCTTTTCCCCACACGTACGCACGCATACGATTAACTCGACGACGAACACGGACGAACACGGACGAACACGGACGGACGGACGAAGAGGATCACGCGAACGATATCTCGTTTATCGGGGCCGAGCGTGCCCGTATGAGCAGCCGGTGTGTCTCGTATTTTCCTATTCTTTACGATTCCGCCGAGGGACGCGCCTTTTCCACCGAAGCAGCGGGGGCCAATCGCCGGCAAAAATCTCGACCAGGTCCGTCCACGGTCGCGGTTACGCGTTCGCGCGCCACTGGAGGGGCTCCCCCGGAATGCATTTATCCTTACCCCGTACGAACGGCCCCGAGAAGTCGATGGACCCTGTGTGGCTCTCTGTCGATGATAAGAAACACGGTCGATGGAATTTCCACGGGTAGCTGGAATTGTGACAGACGCTACTTCTAGGCCGGAAGAAGACGAAATAATCATGAGACGTACAGCAGACCTTCGGACTTATCAGTGATTAGGCTATGTCACCTAACCCTACTTCAAAAGGCACACTTTCTCGGTTTACCTGTACCTTTGTACAGGCAGGTTTTTGAATGAAATCCATCGGAATACACAAGTGAACTGAACCAGTTGATACCTGGTAATTAGAATTGATATAGCTAGAGTTCATACCCTAGGCGATTAATCATTTTTACATCTAGAATACAGAAGTGAATAAACCAGTTGATGCTAGCTAATTAGAGTTGATATAGCTAAAGTTCATACACCAGGTGATTAATCATTTCTGCATCTACAATAGACTCGAGTTCCAGTTTTTTTTTGTTCAAATATGAACATTGTTTTGCTCGAGATATGCAAGCTAAGAAACCGGAGGCGCGTAAAAGTTTCGTGAAACGGCGCGGGGACAGGAGTCGAGAAGGCGGAAAGGACGAAAGAGGCAAATGACACGGGGACGGGAAGGAAAGCGAGAACGGCCGTTAGTAGGAGAGGACTGAACGCGGCCCGTGTACGGGTCATGGAACGGATCAGCTGATCGGAGGCGCACGCCAGAGTTTACGAGTTACGGCCGCCAATAAACCCGGCGCGGTTCGTTGTTGCTCATGCGACGTTTCATGGGTTCCAGGGAGAGCCGAGTAGGAAAAGGACACCAACTGGGGAGAGGGGGACAAAAGAGAATGACCAAATACGTGAATGAACGATGACTCCCTCGACCGACCGTTTGCGCGACGGGCCCACACGACAGTTTTCGATTCCCCGCGGGTTTTCGACCGTCTCGAATTTCGTACGACCGTCTCGCTACTACATGTACATTTGTTTTCCGTTACTTTTTCACGGGGCCGGTTTCTAGATTAATTCGGAGCACGATCTCGGTGGACTTTTGCGATCTTATGTTTTTTTTTTTTTTCTTTGAAACCGGTATGTCTCGTGACTTCTTCGAAGACCTTGAACTTACGAGGACAAGATATTCACGTGAATCTGAGAAATCTCGTTATCGTCCTGGAATACCCTCGTTGCAATTTAACAAACGATCGTATTACAGTGGATTCCGCTTATTAGGGCCACCGTTTAATCGAGGTGGCCGTTTATTTGGGACGAAGCTCAAAGAACAAAACTGAATCGAATGAACTGTAATACTTCGCGTAATTGGGAAAAACCGATTAATCAGGCCAAACGACGCTAGGTCCCGATGTGTCCCGAACAATCAGAATCCACTTTATACATATTTACTACATACATTACCGAAACAGTTGATCCCAGCTGGAAAGGTAAAATACGTTCAATCAACTAGGATAGAGTCGATGCTTACCTGGAGGTGGATACGGGCTGGACGTGACAGGCTCCGGTGCCCCGTAATTCCTTAGGCTACCGTATCCGTCGTGAGGAAACGCGCCTTCGGCCGCGACCATCGCGGCAGTGACCCTGCCCCGATCGTCCGCCGCGGACGGCGTCAAGTATGGGACCCCTGCTTGCGAGTGTGGATGATGATGACCGGCCGTGTCGACCGGATGATGATGCCTGGCGGTTGTGTACGGCGAGTAATTGCACCAGCTCTGCGAGAAGCTCTGATGACAGGAGGACACGGCCGGGTCTGTGGCTCCAGTGGCGACCGAGGACGAACCGCCACCGGTCGAGGAGCTGGTGGTCGCCACGCCGGCCGAGTTGTAGGACTTGTAATCGGCTGCGGAACCACCACCGCTCCCTGCCGAGCCAGCGGTTGCCGCGGCCGGCGACCAGAAGCTTAACGTGCCGGCTTTCCGGTTGTCCCTCGCGGAACCGGACGTCGATGTCGGATCGGCCGCCAGATTGTAATAGGTCGGGGGATTGTTGCCCCCGTACGTTTGATGATGATTCAACGAATCACCCGCGGCCGCCGCGGACGTGTAATGCGAGTCCTGGGGATGATGGGGACTGTAACTCCAGCCGCCTTGGGAGCCGGCCGAGGACGAGTGGGAATGACGTATGACGCCCGCTGGTCCAGCGGCGGGCGGTCCTGATGACTCGACGCAGGTAACCTCCCCGTACGAGGACGTGGCCGGTGTCGCTGTCAATCGTTTCGCTGGTATATGAAGCGGTCCTGGAGCACTGTTGCTCGCCACCGATGAGGCGCTCGGCGATGTCGAGCTGGCGCTCGCTGTTGGCGCCGAAGGCGCTGTCGTACCCGTCGACGCCGGTGCAGCAGGTGATGTCGGTGTCGTTGCTTGTTGATGGGAGCCTGGTGTCGATGTAGCTTGTTGTTGTTGTTGTTGTTGTTGCTGTTGTTGAATCGATACGAGGCTCGAGGCTGTTGGTGGGACCGGTGGCGGGCTGTCCTCGTAGAGGGAACCGTTCATCATGGCCCACCAGGTCACCCCGGTGGAATTCCCCGCTCCGGTGGCTGTCCCCATCGGCGTGACGGAGCCAGGGTGGCCCACGCCGGAGCCGCACAGCGGCGCGGCGTGAACATTGTCGTACAGCGTCGCCGTCGAGCAAGCCACGTGATCGGCGATGGTGCAGATGGTGACAGTTGTTTGTCGGTGTTATTACGAAAGTCCCCGGTACGGTGGCGATGTCGACGGAAGGCGGTGACGGTGTGACCGATTCCGTTTCACCGATCGCGCGGTCAAACGAACGGGTTCGTTCAACCGGTGGAGCGCGCGCGCGCACCGCGGCGAATCGGCGAGTGAACCGCCACGAGGGATTACACGGAATAGACGACGATGATCGGATCACCAATCGATAGACCACAATAGCATCGTACGTGTGGTCAAGAGCGGTAACACGTTGTCCAAGGACGATGGAGGGAAAGTGAGATGCGATGGTCGACGAGAGGTGACGGGTTTTGTCGGGACAGAGGAGGTGCACAGTGGAACGAAGGAGGAACGGAAACACGGACGAGAAACGTGACGATGCGAGAAAGACGAGGTCGGCAGACGAGAGGAAGGAGGATCGAGTGCAGTCAAAACGGTAGTTTTTGTCGTTGGGTTTACCAGGACGGTGACGGTCGAGTTAATAGAGGAGTACGAGGATTAGTAGTAGCGAGGCACCAAGAGCAGAATTCGTACGATGGCGAGACGAGAACGGGCGCGATCAAAATACCATCGTATCCACGACGGAGACGCGACGATAACGGACGAGACGGAACCGACACCAACAACGAGGGTAAATTCAAAACGTCGAGGAAGGGAGGAACAACGCGGGAATCATCGTGTATATACGAGGGGGCGACCAAACGTTGCTCCGTGGAATCGCGCGGAATAAATAAATGAAGGAAACGCGCGTGGTTGCGGAAGGCGAGAGAGAGGAGGCGCCGCGGTAGGTGGGGATAGGGAAAATCGTACGGCGACCGTGCGAGCAGCACCAGGGTTGCGGAGCGGAGGGTGGAGAGGGTGTGCAGCGGCGCGGCAGACAGGTGGAGGGGTAGGTAGAGAGAGCGGGATGGAGGGAGACGGAGACGAGCGACCGACAGAGACGGAGGATAAGGATGAGAGAAAGGGAGAAGAATAGTGTATGCGTGAAAGAGTGAGATAGACGGAGAGGGAGAGACGAGGATGCCCAGGGGCGCGATAAAATGCGTAGCAAATCCGTCGAGAAAAGGTCCATGCACCACCGACCACCACCACCACCACCACCAACGCGACAACGTCCGAAGAAGACGACGACCGAGGTTGAATCGAGGTTGATGATGGGCCACGTGCGGGAACGTGGTCGACGGGGTCGTCCAAACAGCCGATTATGTCCAAGTGGGTCCAACGCAACAGCAACAGCGAGGGACGATCCAGACGCGCGAGGTTGCAACAAATCAAAACAAAACGACACAACACCCTTTAGCGACAATCTATATATATATATATGGTATATCCTTTCTCGAGTCAATGTCAGATCCCGTTCACGATGCACGAGGCGATCTTTCCGTTGATCTCCTCGAGAGCCTGACCAGCGCGTACTCGTCGACACGATCAACGAACGGAACAACGCGGCTGAAACATTCCGCGGTCAGGTGAACACTTGGCAATCGAGGTCCCCTCGGGCATAGGATCGAACACGTCGCGGCGTCCAACGAACAGCAGCAACACGACCACGTTCCTCTCACTGTTGTTCCGCCGATCTTGCTGTCGTCGTCGTCGTCATCCCGCTCCGGGTCATGCTCCAGCTGCATGTCGTCCCGTCACCTTCCTCGACGGAAACTGTCACCGTGCTCATAACTTTCATCGGTTTTTGCACACACGACACACACGCGTACAATTTGTCGCTGAACACTTATTATGCTCTCTATCTCTGTCTTCACTCTGTCACCGAGTTTCTTACGGTTACTTGTCACTTGTATCTGTAATCGACTCGACGATACGCCGTGGTGTCCTTCCTTCTATTTCTCTAGTTACGATTAATCCAGTACACACGCGATCAGGTGGATCCGATGATCGCACCGGGTTAACATATCTCCTTCTCTGGATATCACACCACCACCACGGCCAGGAGAAACGTTTCGTTCGTGGTCGGACGTTCGGGGGAGATCTCTCTCCTGGTGGCAGTAGTCGGTCCTTTTTCTTTTTTTTTTGTTCGTTCGTTCTCTCTCTCTTTCTTCGTCTCCCCTCGTGTCCCCGGAAAGTCAGGTAGCCGGACCCCCGGATCTCGTGTAGGAGCGCGCGCGAGCCGAAAAGTGGTTCCTCAGGTAGAGAAGAAGTGCCCACCGGTCCTAAGGTCCCCCCGTGACTGTTGGTGTCGCGGCGGCAACGGCGGGTACACACACGCGCGATGTTTATACACACACGAAAAGACTCCCTTTCTTCTCTCTGGCCTCGCTGAGCCGAACTGAGCGTCAACTGAGAGCTCTGCCCGCGGCTCGGACGCGCAAACGGGCTGAACGCGACACGAGCGCGATCTCTCGGATCGTTTGGCAACCAAACCCCTGGACGGACACGTCTCTCTCTTCCCCCTTCCACTTTCAGCTGTGCCTCGCCGCTGCCCCGCCGCGTACCGCGTCCACATGCCCTCTAATCTGCCTCTCTCCCTCCACACACAAGGCAGATCGCGAGAACCAGCGCGGCCACGGAACGCACCGAGCAAACACGCTTGTATGTATGTATGTATACACGCAGCTCCAATCTGCTCCGCGAACTTCGAGTGCATCACTTGGCAGACCTCGCAGTCTTGTTTCACTTCGAACATACGTAGCCTTAGCCCAGAAGAAACGAAAGGGAAATGTCCGGACCCGGATCCCTGTGGGCCAATGCATGAATAGCAGGTGCTTCTCTGCTGTCTTCTTTTTTCCTTTTTTGCTTCTATCCAACGGTAGGATGTTCTTTCGCGAGTGTACTTGTGATATTCTTGCGACGAACTGGACACCTAGCGGCACTAGTGCACTTCGTGTGGAGTGAACCTTCGCGAAGCGTCAGGTCCCTTTTTGGGACTTTGAGGATAGTTCGTTTTCCAGAGTTGGGGCTATTTAGCTAGGTGAAGCTAAGAGGCGATTGTCAGGGGACAGATAGTAGGTGTCCTCGTCTTTATCGACCAGACCAAGTCTTTGGCTTCAGGGGTATCCTCAATATTCTTGCGGTGAGAGTAATGTGTCCACTTTGTGGAGAGTAATGACTTTGTCCTGTTAGTGACTTTGCAGTAATTTTTTATTTTAGATGTAGAACTAGCCAGCTTGACTAATCAGGGGGACAAATGATTCTTATGTCCTTTTGCTCTTGTCATCCAGACCATTTTTCTGTTTTTATTTAAGGGTACAACTCAGTACCAATTCTTGCGTTCTTTTCCATTTTATCATCCCTCAAACTTGCATCCCTAAATTGGTCTCCCTATCACTCGATGTACCTCTTTTTCCCTAGATACTTCAAACATTTTAGGCGAAAGAAACTAAAGTGACATCGATCCCCTTTGTACTGGCCAATTGACAAATGCTGCTACCATCATTCTTCCCTGCCACCATCTAGATCAAGTTTTTTTCGTGTCTGATCTCTGGATACTCCTCCCGCGAGTTGGGTTTTTGCGCCACGTAGCTTTCGCGCGTTTACCAATTCTTTTACCCCTCGAGCACGGAGTCAACGAACCGAGAAATTTATTGTCGCCCATGAAACGCTAATTGCTCGCCACGACTCGACGCGGGACTCGATTCTTTTTCGTCCCCGGGAGTGAGTCCATCTTTCCGCGGTGTTTTCGTACGAATAAGTTTAGCGAGCGACGCGTCTCCACGGATCCCCCCCAGAGTTTCCTCGCTTGAAACGCATCTGTCCTGTTTTGCGGCGCACCTTTTACGACGCCCATTATCTTGGCGAATAACGGCAACCTGTTATCGTTATTGAATTATTCGTCTAGAGCAGTGTCTGCCGGTGGAACGTAACTACCGTCGCCTGGCTTGTGCCTAATTATTCTTGTAGACGCAGCTGATGAGAATGCTTGATAAGTTGACTATTCGGACTTTTCTCGGTTAGATTGTGGTCGATACGAATACGATGAAAATAATTTGTGTGCAAAGGTGTAAGTTAAATTCAAAATGTGACTACCTATCCATACTCAAATTACTGAAAACAATGGAACCACAGACGAGATATAAGAATAGACCTAACATCTTATGGGACTTGGTGTCCCACGAAAGTCACGCTGTTTCAAACGCACACCACATAAAAGTTTCCGACTTCAGGACATACGTTTGACATCGTGATGCCACACAACACACACACACACACCCGTAATTCCATATAGCGATACATACATTCATTATTGTCCTGATTTCGCTAGCAAGGAATGGAATACTGAAATGGCACGGGGGCTTCTGACGCCCTCGAAGCATGGGACAGAAAATTACATTGCACGTTAGGTCTATTCTTATTTCAATCAACTTTCAAGAACAGATACAACATACCATCACGTAACATAGCAAAAAAACCACCGATCACATAATTGACTCAAACGAAACAGTATGACGCGCGGAAACGTGCATTTCATTGCATCATTCCTACCATCGAGGTGAGCGATCGATCATCTCAACGAGGACTCGAAATCGCTACCCAAAGTAACTCACTCAATGGACAAGTCGCTCGAATGAACGAACGACCGAGGAAAGAACGCCGTCCTCCGGTATATTCTTCGCGCGTGACGTCACGCGCTCAAGGAAGAATGGATGAGATGTGTCCCGTCGCAGACAGCCGATCTCTGTACAGTGCGTGGTTTCGCACGCACGCACGTTGTCTCTGTGTGTAGACGTGAATACCCGCGCGGAACGTCGGGGCAATACGTCATGGCTGTGTATTGCAGTCTAAATCTCGGTACTTTTATGGGGCAGTAAAGTAAAACGGTCTGACAACAACTCCGGTGGCACATACCGCCTTTCATCTGTCCATCAGGCTCGCGGCGCCACTAGATCGCGCCACGCGCGGGACACCTCTCCGATGCGCCTCTTAATCGACGGGGACATTACGGAATCAGCTGGAGACTACCTAGGCCTATCATCGGGTACCCGATAACATCGAAGCTATG